CTTTGCTTCACAAAACATGTAATACTATCTGTAGCTCATTTGATTGGTCTCACTGGGCCAGATTCTTTATATCCCTGCTAACCTTTGTAACAGCTCTGCAAGATATTTATAAGCCATCTCTTTTTCAGATGAACAAATTGTCAAGGAAGGTTGAGAATTTAGTCCAAGATGCCACAGCTAACGAATAGCTGAGCTGGGATTTGAACCCCAATCTTTCTGATTCCAAAGACAGCCTTTCCCCTGTGTAATGCTTCCGTTTCTGTGCCAAGCCGTGGGCATGTCCAGTATCATTTAACCCTCAACTACTACTTGAGAATTCCAGTGGCCAAAAGACCAGAGAATTGAGAAGCGGCCAGTTCCATTACTGAACAGACTGCTAATTAGAAAGTCCTCCATCTTATCTACCTCATATCTGGGATAGAAGAGATCTTCCATCTTCATGTGATAGTCCGTTAATAGTTTTAGAGCCATGGTGTGCCCCTCAAGTCTCCTCTTCTGGTTAAACAGTCCCTGACTTCCTCACAGGACACGACACCCTGACCCTTCTCCAGCTTGATTTTCCTCCTCGGGTGTCTCTGTAAAGACTGCAGGAAAGTGTTGAACAAAGACCTGAATGCAGCCTTGCACGTGAAGGTTGACTGAAGGTGAAGAGGTCACTTGGAATGTCTAGAGAAGCAATGATGACCTGCTACTTGAGATGGAAAGGAGACTTGGAGTATGAGAGATACTGAGGAGTTGGAAACCACAAGACCTGGCCCCGGTACACACAGTCTGTCTCCCTTTCTAGAACGCTCCATGAAGGCCGAGACCCTGTCTGTCTTGTTCATTGCTGTATCCCTGCTGCTTAGAATAGTACCTGGCACCTGATAGTGCTCAATAGTATTTTTTTTTTTAAATAAACACAGGTTTGAATGAATGAAATTATTGTGGGAGCTGATGGAGACATGGTTGACTTGGATTTTGAACTTCGATAGGTGGTAGTGGCATTAAGAGAAAGCTTGAAGTCAGGAAGAAGAGCCGTTTGGGGGCCAGATGAAGAGTGCAGTGTGAGACATGTTGAGTTTCAGACACCAGCCAGACACATTTCTTGAGGAGTTCAGGGCTGGGAGAGGGAGAGGGTATGTGAGATACTATGGATGTGGTAGGCATCCTGGGAAAGGTGGTTTAACAGAACTGCTAAGGACAGGTAAGATATGGCTAGATGCAGAGACCCAAAGTCCTGAGGAGTCTAGGAAACTGAAGACTTACTTGGGAGGATGGGGTGTGTGGGGGCGGAGGGGGCCCTGGGAAGGGATCTGTGAATAGACCTCTTTAACTGGAGTGGAGTTGGGGGATGAGAGACAAACCAGGGTTTTGGATGTTCCAGTCAGTTTATCATTTGTTATCCTGCCTAGACCCGAGGGAGCTGAGGACCAAGCATGGGGTTACGGCTGCCGTGCTGCCAACCCTGAGTCGGGAGGCCTGACTCTACCTCGGCCAGCTGTCACCCTCTCTGTTTCCACTTAAGTTTGCCTGGTCTGAGCTCGTCTTCTGTCTTGGCGTCAGCTGTTCTAGTTCCATCAGTCTTGCCTGCTGCTTCAGGTCACACTAATGTCAGGTGTGCTCGCCTGTCATTTGGGGCAGCAGATGTCATGTGGCAGTCGAAACCACACTAGGTCTGGGGTTTACTATTTTCCTGAAATCTAGTTTTTTTTTTTTTTTTTTTTTTTTAAAAAAAAGGATGAAACAAAATCCTCTCTTATTTGGATGGAGACATGTTGCTGAGGTTTGTTCTTTCTGTTAAAACCTGGGTTCTCTACTGCTTTTTTTCTCCTTAATTCATGAACAGAAACAGAAAAATATTTTCATTCAATGAAAGGTTAGAATTTTCAAAGTGATATAACTAAATGGAACAAAACTTCTCACCCTTCTCCATGTATATTGAAAACTGATTTTATGTTATACAAAAAGGCTTACAAACCTCTCCTTTTTTTAAAAAAAAAAAAAAAAACCCAACATTTTCTTAGCCTTGCCACCGCACCATGATGAATTTCACACTTTGGTTTAATCCTTTCAAGGTGAAAGTTTACCAGGAGGAAGTGCCTCGCCACTTAACGTGGATCAGTTCCACGAGAATAGTGTGGCTTTTAAAATTGTTTATTTTTGTTTTTTGAAAATGGAGTGCAGAACTTGACATGATAATAAATTCGTCAACATTAGTTAAATGATCTCTTGGGCCAGGCAGTGTTCTAAGCATCTTATGTGTATAACCTCACTTAACTGTTGTGCCACCAGGACTCCTTAACTCAGACTAGCCTAATTTATATTTCAGGCTCATTATTCAGGTACATTCAACACCTTTCTGTGTTCTCTCTTGTTCTTTAGTCATTTGAAGGTGGAAAATGACGCTGTGAGCACCCTACAGGCAGAAAGTAGCATTTCCTGTCATTGTCCCGTCATGATGACATGGTGGCCAAGGCTTCAGAGTGGCTAGGGAAGCAGCATTGATGCTGAAGAGTGGCTGCTCAGCTTCTCTGTAATTAAAAATAGAGGGAGCCAATGTGAAGTGGCACAGTGAAACATTTTCTCCAACGTAATATAAGTTCTTTCAGCTTTGGCCATTACAAATAGTCCTTTTGAATTTTATTTATATTTTTAGCCATCTACAAGCATTAGTTTAAAAATCTGTATTATATCTATTTGAAATATGCTGGGAATAAGTTTAATGAAAAGGAAAGTTTAGAACTCTATATTTCGTATCTGGTTTTTATATTCTTATAATTAAAATTTTTATTTTCATATTCTGTATCATTACAGATGACAAGTAATTCATTTACATATTTCTTTTTTATTTTTATCTCACAAAGTTATAGAAATGATTCTTATTATAGTTAAACTCTGACTGCCTGGAAATTGTAAATTCATTCAGTATTCCTACGACATACGGCAATAAAATTTTATCAAGTATAAAACCATTTCATCAACGTGTCTGTTTAGAAGGGTATTTGTATAGGGTTAAATCCCCACATTTATTTCAAATGGTTAGAGTAGTTTTTTTTTTTTTTTTTTTTGTAATAGGTGTTGTTGTTGTTAGGTGCCATTGAGTCGGTTCCAACTCAGCGACCATATGTATAACAGAACGAAACACTGCCCAGTTCTGCGCCATCCTTACAGTTGTTGCTATGTTTGAGCCCATTGTTGCAGCCACTGTGTCAATCCATCTTGTCAAGGGTCTTCCTCTTTTTCAGATCCATGCATTCCTTGTGTTCACAGTTTACAAAGAACTGGAAATTATATCATAGATGCAACGTTTTTCAGGCTGTGGTTGGGGGTATATGAGTGTGCTTGAGGGATTGGCCCTGGTGGGCTCCAGCCTTCTCACACCAGCTTCAGTCAGACACTTTCCACTGTGTTTGCATATAAGGCTTCCAAGAAAGCTTTTGTTTGAAAATAAGGTTTCTCCTACCATGTAAAAACAATTATTAGAAAATAATTAGATTTTCTAGATGTATTCAGAAGGTACTTCCAGGATTTGGATTATGAACTAAAATCTCCATTATTTTTTTAAATGAATTAATGAATAAAATTTACATTAGCTTAGGATTCTCTTTGCAATATGAATGAACAAAAGTGACCAGAAGCCCTTTCTAGTCAGGGTGTTTATTTCAGCATACATTTCTTATCAGTCGGGCCTCACAGTTCTAAGACTCATGCGGCCATAGCTCCTAGTAACGCTACAATGAACTCTAGTAACTGGAAGTTTTTATAGCCGATGACTTCACTAGGACTTGTCTAGACAGCAGCTACTCTCTAAAATCATAGCACATTAGGGCTGGAAGAGATTTAACAAAGATACTGTTACTTAGATGGCCTAAATGTTCCGTTTGCCATTGTATCCATGGTTTTGGGGTTTGAGGGATGGTGAGACCAATGACTTCAGCATGGAAAGTGGAAAACTTGATAGGCATAAATATGGGGAAGGGACTAACGTTGGTTTTGGATGCAAGTACAAACATATAAAGTATTCTTTGGAAACAGTAGCAAATGTAAAAGGAATTTGATGATGATCATGTTTGCCAAAATGGGAGAGGCTATACCTAGAGAGGAGCCCTGGTGGCGCAGTGGTTAAGAGCTCGGCTGCTAACCAGAGGGTCAGCAGTTTGAATCCACCATTTGCCTCTTGGAAACCCTATGGGGCAGTTCTGCTCTGTCCCGTAGGGTCACTATGAGTCAGAACCGGCTCGACGACAGCAGATTTCTTTGATACTTGGTCAATAAATTTACAACTTTTCAGACTGACTCTCCACAGCAAAGTAATGCTAGCTTAAAATAAATAACGTTAGTGTTATATTTTTTGCTACTGAACTCCATATGCTGTCAAACAGGTCATCGTCAGTGGTATTTGGATGGTATCTGCATGGTTCCCCAACCTTCAATCATTTTAGTCAAGTCAACAAAAATAGTCAAATAGAAAGACCAATTGACAACAACTGTTTTAACTGGTTGTTTTGTTCTCCTGCCTATTGACATAAAACTGCCAGATGTGGTTTAATGTAGAGCCTGAACTCTGTAATCCAACAGTTGTGCTGGCCTAAGAATGGCAAAGATCAGCATGTACCTGGTAGTCCAGAGGAGTCCAATTGCATTGAATCAATTGATTTAGATTTGGCCTGAGAAGCTGGGGTAAAAATAGCCTTGTCTCTGAGAAAGTGTCTTCAGAGGCCTTTGTGTGACTGGGTGTTCAAACAATTGGAGGGTGGGACGATTGGTCCCTGAGTGCCCTGAGGTCACATATTAGCTGAGCTTCTCATTAACTCGGTGAAAGCAAGAAAGTGGCTTTGGTCTGTAAGATTTTCTCCAGAGAGTACTAGTAATTTCCTGATGGTCTTGCCTTATTGGGAATAAATAGAAGGTGCTTTGTATTGGTGTGGTGAAAAGTTGCCCTGTGAAGTATACTTTGCGCTAATCCTTGTGACAACGAGTAACTCTTCCCCCTCCCTGTGACTGTCATATGTCTGCAGGAAGCTGCCCTCTGTAGACAGCTCCCCATGGAAGCCGAGACTTTGGCCACGGTTCAGGCTGCTGTCAACCCACCCGCCATGACCCCAGACATGAGATCTATCACTAACAACGGCTCAGATCCTTTTCTCAACGGGTGAGTTAACATTTGGGGGCCATTCATTTTTGCTTTCTTTATTCTGTGGTCTAGAGTGACATGGGTCTTTGTTTATGTTGGGAAAATGTGGGGAGCTTGGGGAGTGGGGTGAGGATAGAAGGAGGAAGTGAAGGGACGTGGCAGAAAAAAATAGAAAAGAAAAGCAGAGGAAGTCATCTACATTTCTAAAAATCTTAACTTCAAAACCTGTTGATATGACAGGGGGTAAACATCTAGTCGGCAATTTGTATAGGGAGATGAGATAAACTTATAATTCAAACAGGATGGTGTTGGGTAGTAATTATTTGGAAGAATCTTGCAGTTTTATGTAGCTAGCAGGGGAAGAAAGCATGTCATATGGCAAATAGAGAACAAAACATTTAAGATTTAATTTTTACGGTGAAATCTGAGTAAGGTCTGTCGTTTAGCTAATAGTAGTATACGATGTCAGTTTCCTAGTTTTGATCATTGTACTCTGCTTATGTAAGATGTTAACACTGGGGGAGGCTGGGTGAAGAATACTCGGGAACTCTATACTCTTTTTGCAACGTCTATGTGAGTCTCAAATTATTTCAAAACAAAAAATGTAATTTAAAAAAGATAATTTTTTTTTAAATGAAAACATATGAGCAGAAGGAAAAGGAAAGTTAGCCAGAAATATATTCATGAGTAGGAGTAGTCAACCTTAATTGTAGCGTTTTAAACCCTATTTTCTATGTCTCTTCTACTCCTGCAGAAGCTTCTGGCAAGCAAACAAATACAATTATGAAATCTATTACAGATAAAAAGAGAAAGAAATCGAGTAAAACAGAGAGAGAGGAAATCAAACAGTAACCAAAAAAAAAGAACAGACTCTTAAAATTATTGATTTTTAAAGTATTTCAAATGTAAGAAAAATTATAAAGAGTACTGTAAGATTACCCATGTATCTACCACCCAGATTTGTCTTATTTCCATCTGATCTTTAAAAAAAAATATGATGTTACAAATAATACCCTAACCCCATCCCCACCACCACTAAATTCCCATTTCTTTCCCTTCCTTCCTCAGTGGTAGCCACCATCCAGAAATTGGTGTGTGTTCATCACAGATATTTCATACTTTTTACTGCTTGCTTATGTGTATATCCATAAGCAATATTCAATATATTTTTCTAATTAAAAAAAATTTTATATAAATGGTACCATACTTCATACTCTATATGCAGAAAAGCATTCAAATTTCTATTTTAAGATGAAAAGGAAATCAACATCAATTTACTATGAGTGGCCAGTTTTATTTGCTTATAACCTACAGTATGTGTTTCCAAGTGGAAAGGAGACATGGAGTTGGCTTTCCCCTTCATTACCTGGAAAGTTGGGCAGAAGGGACCCCACTAGTTTAGGGTTTTCATGACTGTATTTTAATTTTGAAGTTCGTTTGGTGTGCTCACAATGAAGTTGCTCTGTCTCTTGCTCTTCAGAGGACCATATCATTCGAGAGAACAGAGCACCGACAGCGGCCTGGGGCTGGGGTGCTACAGTGTTCCCACCACTCCAGAAGACTTCCTCAGTAACGTGGATGAGATGGACACAGGTAGGAGCAGGGGCTGTGAGAGCTTGTGGTGTGCGTGTGACATTAAATCGTCTCTCCAGTCATTTCAAGTCTAAAATCCAGCCACTAAATGTCAACATAAAACGTCAGTGAAAAAGCCACCCGACCCACAGGTACTGTTAATAAACTCTAGCCACTTCCCGGTAGTCTATACGAATATAATGTCACATATGGATGCAAGATTTGATTTTTTTTTTCCCTCGCTCCTCCTTACTACCCGTAGCCCCTTCCTCACAATTGCATTAAGATACCACCATCTGCTGTACCCTCCTTATGCAATGGGGTATTTGTGCTGTTCTAGTTTTAGGAGCCCTGGTGGCACAGTAGTTAAGAGCTACGGCTGCTAACCAAAAGGTCGGCAGTTCAAATCCACCAGCCACTCCTGGTAAAACCTGTTTCTCCTTTGTCCTATAGGGCCACTATGGGTTGGAATCGACTCGACGGCAGTGAGTTTTTTTTTTCCTGAGAGTTTTTAGTTGTCATGTGTGTGCCATCTCTTCTCTTGAGGAACTCTACTGGTTTATAGTTCTGTTACCATGCAGATTTTCCCATGACGTTCACTGCTTTAGGAAGCAGTTGACCGTGGACGTTTGGAAAGTGAAGCAACTCGGGAGATTCTAAATTGTGATCTCTGAGTTCCAACATGATAACAGTGTCCTCCCTCAGCAATCAGAAAGAAGGGAGTCAGGGTGACTTTTACCTAGTCCACAGCCTGTACATCCTTCAGGCCAGCCTCCGGCAGGCTCTTCAGGTTACCTCTCCTTGTCCTCCCTTTTCAAGGAGTAGGACTTCCAATTGAAGAAACTGAAGTAGTGTTGTCAGCCTAATTGAGACTTAGCTAGGGGCGGTGGAGGTTCGGTGGTAGAATTCTCACCTTCCACGTGAGAGACCTGGGTCCAATTCCTGGCCATTTCACCTCATGAGCAGCCACCACCCGTCTGTCAGTGGAGGTTTGGGTGTTGCTATGATGCTGCGCAGGTTGCAACAGAACTTTTAGGCCAAGACAGATTAGGAAGAAAGGCCTGGCAATCTACTTCTGCAAATCAGCCAGTGAAAGCCCTATGGATCACAACAGCCTGATCTGCAACCCGTCCTGGAGCTGGCACAGGACCGAGTGTGTTTTGTTCTGTTGTGCATGGGGGTCACCGTGAATCGGCGGCTGCCTTGACGGCAGCTAATAACAATAACAATGGACTTAATTATGAAAGTCATAACCTCCCAGAAGATATTCTAAAGCCAAAAATGAGTGGCAACTGAGGTGTCCATTGGAGCCATGGTGGCACAGTGGTTAAGAGCTTGGCTGCTAACCAAAAGGTCAGAAGTTCAAATCCACCAGACGCTCCTTGGAAACCCTATGAGGCAGTTCTGCTCTGGCCTATGGAGTTGCTATGAGTTGGAATCAACTCATTGGCAGCGGGTTTGGTTTTTGGAGGCATCCATTATTTGGAATTCCTTGTGCAAGTTTCTCCTCCACTGTCACCTTCTGTGACGAAAATAAGCAGTTGTGCTTGTCCACACCGCCTGTGTTTTGTGACCCTCTGCTCTTAGATGACTCCTCTTCTTGCTCTGAATCCAAATTATTGGTGAGACCAAAAGTCAGACGAGGAGCCAGGTGTCACGGAAGTGTGGTACCGTGGGGAGCAGCTGCCGGAGGTCTCACTGCAGGCTGTTATCTGTGTGTTCAGGATTGCACAGCCTGTCCTGCAAGGAGTCACACAGGAAGGATCTGAAATGTTTGCTCTGCTATTCTTCCATTTATTGCTTCGGTTTTCTCCCTCCCTTCTTCCCTCTCTGTATTTTTTGATGTGAGATTTATTTTGGCCTCTTGGGAGCAGCGTTATGAAGCGGCTCCTTCCTATGTTCAGTAGCTGTTTACTTTCATGCTTTAAACCCTGGGAAGCTAGTGAGAAGGAAAAGAAAAGAAAGAAAAAGCTCAGGAGATGGAAACCTAAGCTTGATACTAAGGGGGAGAGAAAGGTGGGTTCTATTCTACATCGTTTTCAAATGATCTCAAGCGGGTAAATAGGAAGTGTTTTGAAGTCGTAATGTTAAATGAAGTGGTGTTCTAAAAAGAACATGGTATTTGCAGACAGACTTGAGCTTGCATCCTTGCGCCTCCACTTGCTTGCAGTGACTTCAGATACGTAACCTCCCTAGCCCTGGATTTCTCACCTGTAAAGTGGGAGTAATATGCGCTTCATAGAGTCGTGAGGAGCCTTGAGATTATAGAGCTCTATACAGAGTTCTCTTCCCTTCCTTCTAAGAAGACTGAAGGAATATACAGAATGATCTGGATAAATGCTAAGGTTCCAAGTTAACCTGGTTAGGTGAGTGTCAGCTCATTGAATGTAGGATCACCCGTGTGAAGTCCTTATAGGAAATGGGCATAAACCCCCTCAAAGGGAGGAATGTAATTGTACGGTAACAAGATAAGGAAAAGCTAGGGGGTGGGCAGGACACATGTGGCTAGAAAAGAACCGTTAGTCCTGCTGACCACACACTGACCACATGCCGAATGTGAAGGAGCCAGCTGGGCACTCCTTTTGCAAAGTACTTGTGGAAACAACAGCTGGACTTGGTGCAAGGGGAGAGTAAAGGAATAGCATGAATAAAGACTGGGAAGCCGCCCATCCTTCCAGAATATTCTGCACCAGTCACACCCTTTTTAGAGTTGCCTGGTTTTGGTCTCTCCTGCTCTTTAATGAATGTGGATAAAACTTCAAAGACCAAAAAGATTACTATGAGATTGCCGAGTTGCTCCCAAGGGAGATGTTGAGAGATGAGAGATGTTGAGATTGTTAACCTTAATGAAGAAACAGTCTCCTCATGCTTTCAATGTCTGAGGAGAAAAGATAAGAGGAATTCTTTAAAACAGAGAGATGTTGTTTGGATAACAAATGTACTACTGAGATACTGAAAACTTAAAAAGGAAAATCAATAGAGGTGGAGATGAAGAAAAAAAGACATTCGGCACTTTTAGATGAGATAATTTTTTAGGACAGATAATTTTTTAAAGCTTCATTTCCAACTGTTATACTCTAATGAGTAGAAAAAAAATCATTTTGGCTTTTCTTTTCTATTTTGATATAATTTTTCAATATCAGTAGCACTGTATTTAGGTCAGGTCGTTAACACTATATTGATGTTATATTATTAAGCTTGACTTATTTTTTTCAAATTACCGTTTAGCATTGCCTTTTGCAGTGAAAACCACTTAATCTATTGTTCAAGAGTCATTAATAATTTGAGTTACAAAAAAGCAATTAAGCTTTGCTATCACCAAAGCGCAAGTTTGATCGCTTCCCTCATCACTTGGAAAGATACATTTTTTTCTCCCTGGAAAACGTGTGGTTTAAATGAATTCTCTGCAGTTTTTCTCAGAGTATTGAAATTTCTATGTCCCCTTATTCAGGAGGTCTGCTGCACTTGTAAAATGTAAAAGCCAATTTAACAAGTTTCGTTAAAATGATGGTATGGTGGAAGTTGGCCTTCGTTATCAGCGCTCCCCAATCTTTGAGATAGATTTTATTGCTTTGGAAAAATTGTTTGTGGCTGTTTGCATTAACCCCTTGCTCTTACATTGTGTAGTTAACAGTGATTGAATTCCTGGGCTTTGTCTTTCTCTCAGAACATTCAATCAACACATTGATTACATTTTCTAATGTGTATGTTTATATGTATGAATGATGCCTAGAGCTGTGAGTGTGTGTCAGACACTGTATGACACTCTACTCAAACTCATGAAGAAGGTACCAATGTCCCATTTTATAGATGAGGAAACTGAGGGTCAGACAAATGTGCCTAAGGTCACACATAAAAAGCTCAGTCTACTGGCACCAAAGGTAGTTTATTTTCTCCTATTCTACTACACGTAAAGAACATATATTTTTCATGTCCTATCCCATACACTTAACCTTCCTCTAGTGCAGTGTTTTCTAAAGTGTACTCTGCAGAACTCTAGTTCATTAGGAGATTGATAAATGTATCCAAAATAGAACTGGGTGATTAAATTGGGATGTAGGAAACACTGGCTTAAACAAAACAAACTGGATTTCTTTACTGCAAGACATCTCAGAACCTTAGTATGTCGTGTGCGTTGTGATCCTCTGAGAAGGGTAGATAGGAAGTAGTAGGGTGTAGTTGTATGCAGAGGGGGTAGGGAAGGTCTGCAGAACCTACTTCATAAAATACTTTGAAAACGATGCCTAGAGCCATCGATGAAGACAGTTTTTAATAACATGGTTAAAAGAAGCTCCTGTGATATTGTGTTTGAACGTAAAGAAGAGTGACATGGATAAATGTAAGCTTATAGTCAAATCTGTAGATTTTAGCTCTGTAACAAGGTCTTTATTACAGACAGGGCCTCTCTACTCTCACAAAACAGCTCTTCATGCCTCTGTCAGTGGAAGGCTTAAGTCACAGTTCAGATCCACAGTGCCTTCTGCATGCCCCTTTCTTACTTCCCTGCATTTCCATTCTGGACCATGTCTACAGAGAAGCACTTGTGAAAGATTCACCCACCATCTCTGTATCTCTTAGCAGTGTGGGCCACCAGCTCAGCTTCAGTGATGTGGTAGCTGAAATCTACCACCAAACCAAACCAAACCAAACCAAACCAAACCTGTTGCTGTCGAGTCCATTCCAACTCATAGCAACCCTATAGGACAGAGTAGAACTGCCCCATAGGGTTTCCAAGGAGCAGCTGGTGGAT